CGTTGGAGGAGGACGTGATTCATCCTCCCCGACCTGTTATAACTGTGGTAAATCAGGACACCTGCAGAAAGACTGCAGGAAGCCGCGAGGCTCAGTGCCTCGGGGAACTCCCGGTCTGTGTCCCCGGTGTAGAAAGGGGAAGCACTGGAAGAATGAGTGCAAATCAAAGTTTCATAAAAATGTTTCCTCTCTAAATAAAGATGATAAAGAGGAACCTGAGGAGTCAAAAAACTAGGTCAGGGGTGTTCTCCTAACCCCGCACCCAAGGGAGAGGAGAAAACCACACCAGAGCTAGGATTAAATCTTGAAGCTGCAGAATTTACTATTCATGAATTGCCTAGAGCAACGCCAGGAAGCGTAGGTCTAGACCTGGCTAGTGCAAAGGATATGATTCTGTCAAAATGGGATGGAATATCCTTGGTTCCAACAAAGGTTAAAGGGACACTGTTGCCACAAACAGTGGGATTAATTATAGGAAGGAGTTCTAATTATCAGAGGAATTTTGAAGTACTTCCTGGTGTACTAGATGCAGATACTGAGAGTGATATAAAAATAATGGTTAGGCCTTTATCAGAGACTATACAAATACATAAAGGACAAAGAATAGCACAGTTATTACTGTTGCCCTATATAAAATTACCTAATCAACTCATGAAAACAGAGAGAGGTCAGGGTCAATTTGGATCCACTGATGGGGTTTTCTGGATCCAGGACCTAGGAAACTGTCCTTTTAAAATTATAAAACTAAATGGAAAAGGATTTAAGGGCTTACTCGACACAGGGGCAGACAGGACATGCATTTCTGCCTCTGACTGGCCTACAAGTTGGCCAGTACATAAAACAGGATCCTCCTTGATGGGATTGGGATCAGCCTCAGGAGTGATGCAAAGTTCTGCACGTTTGAAATGGAATTGTGATGGAAAAGAGGGACTTATACAACCTTATGTACTTCCCTCTCTCCCCTTTACATTGTGGGGAAGAGACATCTTAGACTTTATGAATGTAAAATTGGTGACCTTGGATCAGTTGAGCCATCAGAATTTTTCATAGGGGCCACTGCTGAAGGACTGTATGCTGACAAAATTGAGTGGCTTACTCAGGAGCCTGTATGGGTGAGTCAGTGGCCCCTAACAGAAGAAAAGATACAGGCTCTGGAACAACTAGTACAAGAACAATTGGAAAAGGGACATATAGTAGAGTCTAATAGTCCATGGAATACCCCAGTATTTGTGATTAAGAAAAAATCTGGAAAATGGAGGTTATTGCAAGACTTAAGGGCAGTAAATGCAGTAATGAAAGACATGGGAGCTCTTCAACCAGGGTTGCCATCCCCAGTGGCAGTCCCCCAAGGATGGGAAATAATAGTAATAGATTTGCAAGACTGCTTCTTTACTATCCACTTACATCCTGAGGATAGTGAACATTTTGCCTTCAGTGTACCCTCAGTAAATTTTAAACAGCCTTTTAGACGTTATCAGTGGGTGACTCTCCCACAGGGTATGAAAAATAGTCCTACATTATGTCAGAAATTTGTTGATCAGGCTTTAAAAAATGTAAGAGAAAAATTCAGTACCTCCTATATAATACATTATATGGACGATATATTATTAGCTAATCCTGATAAAGAAGTTTTAGATATGTTATTGAAAGAAACTATAAAACAGCTGACTGCCTTTGGGTTGGTAACAGCCCCAGAGAAGATACAAAAGAATAAACCTATAAGTTATTTAGGGCATTATATAAATAATGATTATATTAATTCACAGAAATTGACAATAAGGAAGGATAAATTAAAAACATTAAATGATTTTCAAAAATTGTTAGGAGATATTAATTGGATAAGACCATATTTAAAAATAACTACAGGGGCATTGAGCCCCTTGTATTCCTTGCTACACGGAGATCCCAAACCAAAGTCACCACGAGTATTAACGCCTGAGGCTATGCAAGCTATATCTATAGTTGAAGAAGCTTTGAGTAAAGCTAGGGTTAAGCAATTAGATTATTTCTCAAAACCCCCTCGATCAGGCTTTGTGTGTTTTTACAGACGGTTCTTCCTCTGGAAGGGCTGCGGTTTTCACACATGAGGACAGAATCTATGTAGACTCAGGAAGTAAGACTTCTTCTCACGCAAGCAGAAATTAGAGCGATGATTTTGGACTTTAAAATTTTTCCTCAACCTTTTAATCTATATTCAGATTCAAAGTATGTAGTAACTTTGTTTCCCGATTTGAAAACCGGGCTGCGGTTTTCATACATGAGGGCAGAATCTATGTAGACTCAGGAAGTAAGACTTCTGCTCAGCAAGCAGAAATTAGAGCGATGATTTTGGCCTTAAAATTTTTTCCTCAACCTTTTAATCTATATTCAGATTCAAAGTATGTAGTAACTTTGTTTCCAGCTTTGGAGACTGCCCTTTTATCAGGAAAATCCCATATTTTACCTCTTTTACAAGAATTGCAGCAATGCATTTGGCAAAGAACTCAGAAGTTCTATGTAGGGCACATAAGAGGGCATAGTAATCTGCCTGGGCCTTTGGCACATGGTAATGCCATGGCAGATTTTTATACTCAAGAAGGAGCATTTAATGTGCAAGAAGCCCAAGAAAGTCATGCTGTTCATCATCAAAATGCATTAGCCCTAAAAAGAATGTTTCAAATAACCAGGGAGCAAGCAAGACAGATAGTAAAGCAGTGCGCCCAATGCCCACCTGCTCACTGCACTTTAAAAATGGGGGTCAACCCTAGAGGCTTGAAACCAAATGTGTTATGGCAAATGGATGTGATGCATGTCCCCTCATTTGGGCGACTATGTTATGTTCATGTAACTGTAGATACTTTTTCTCATCTAGTAATAGCCACTGCTCGGACAAGAGAGGCTGTAAAAGACGTAATACAACATCTAACTCATTGTTTTCAAGTGATGGGTATGCCGTCTCAAATTAAGACAGACAATGGTCCGGCATATACCTCCAAAGCTTTTGAATCATTTTGGGCTCAATGGCATATAGCCCACACTACAGGAATCCCTTATAAAAGGGCAAGCTATTATAGAGAGAACTCATCAGGTGTTAAAAACGCAAATTGAACGCTTACAAAAGGCAAATGAATATTTTACTCCTCATCATATTTTGTCTCACACCTTATTTGTTTTAAATCATTTGAATACAAATGAGAAGAATGTCACACCTGCTATGGTGCATTGGGTATAGCCCACACTACAGGAATCCCTTATAATCCACAAGGGCAAGCTATTATAGAAAGAACTCATCAGGTGTTGAAAACGCAAATTGAACGCTTACAAAAGGCAAATGAATATTTTACTCCTCATCATATTTTGTCTCACACCTTATTTGTTTTAAATCATTTGAATACAAATGAGAAGAATGTCACACCTGCTATGGTGCATTGGGTGCATGAATTTAATTCTGCCCTTCCAAAAGTTATGTGGAAAGATCTGCTTTCCGGTCTATGGAAAGGACCGGACGTCCTAATAACATCGGGACGAGGGTATGCTTGTGTATTTCCACAGGATGCCGACTCCCCCATCTGGATTCCAGATAGGCTCGTCCGGCCCACAGCGGGACAAGTGGCGCAGAAAGAGGAAATGGCAAAAACAACAGAAGCAGCTGGTGATTCAGATGAAAAAAATGAAACTAACGTCTTCGCAGACAAGGGGAATCACTTGGACGAAGATCAAGCACCTGGTAAAAGAAGCAAAAACCTTGCTGAAAGAGCAAGGAAAACCCCTAACAGCTAGCATGTACTTTCTTGCCTTTTTGGCTTTAATTTCTGCTCCCCCCAGCATAGAAGGCGTGGCCTATTGGGCTTACATCCCCAATCCTCCAATCTTACAGCCCGTGGGTTGGCTGGATCCGGAGCCCATTAGAGTTCTAACCAATGATACTGTCAGGATGGGTGGTGCTCGGGACTCTGACGCGAGAGCCAGCTCGTCCTCTTTAATAACCTTTGAGGGCAGAGCAGACTCGCCGCCAATTTGTATCACACTACAAGGGAAAATGCCGGAAGGCTGCCTGAGCACCGGGTATCGTACTTTCTTAACTGACGGTCCTGACAAGAAGAGTGCTGATAAGCGCTGGGTCTGGGAGACACAATTCAAGACTCTTGGAGATCCCTTGTATAAAGA